CACAGGTGATGGACACAGCAGTACTGACACAGCACAGCTGATGGACACAGCAGAACTGACACAGCACAGCTGATGGACACAGCAGTACTGACACAGCACAGCTGATGGACACATCAGTACTGACACAGAACAGCTGATGGACACAGCAGTACTGACACAGCACAGGTGAGGGACACAGCAGTACTGACACAGCACAGGTGATGGACACAGCAGTACTGACACAGCACAGGAGATGGACACAGCAGTACTGACACAGCACAGGTGAGGGACACAGCAGTACTGACACAGCACAGCTGAGGGACACAGCAGTACTGAGACAGCACAGGTGATGGACACAGCAGTACTGACACAGCACAGGTGAGGGACACAGCAGTACTGACACAGCACAGGTGAGGGACACAGCAGTACTGACACAGCACAGGTGATGGACACAGCAGTACTGACACAGCACAGCTGATGGACACAGCAGTACTGACACAGCACAGGAGATGGACACAGCAGTACTGACACAGCACAGGAGATGACACAGCAGTACTGACACAGCACAGGTGAGGGACACAGCAGTACTGACACAGCACAGGTGATGACACAGCAGTACTGACACAGCACAGGAGATGGACACAGCAGTACTGACACAGCACAGGAGATGGACACAGCAGTACTGACACAGCACAGGAGCGTGGACACAGCAGTACTGACACAGCACAGGTGATGACACAGCAGTACTGACACAGCACAGGTGAGGGACACAGCAGTACTGAGATACCGCAGGTGCAGAGAGAGGGCAGTACCATGAGAGATTAAACATGAAGTCTTTTCAGGGGCTGACCAGTCAACTGACCAAGTCATTTTCCCAGAAAGTTAACACCGTCACATCTTTTGGCAAGCAGGGTGCAAATGGATGCTTAAGATGAGAAGGTTAGCCAAGGGAAGAGACCCCCCCCCCCCCCGTTCTGGAAGGCAGTGGCCTTGCGAGGCGGAAGGAGGTGCCGTCGTGAGCATCCGTGGAGGTGGACAGTACTGGCACAGCGGAGAGCCGGCCAAACAAAGCCTGCAGGCAACAATGCAGCCAGGGGTGGGAGGACAGGCACCGGGCACAAGGGAGGAACTGGCCTGCATCCCTAAGCTGGACACGGCCTGGCTCCTGAGGTCGTCTCTGACCTGAGCCCTTAAATCTCAGCCCGGAACTGGATCGTGGCTGCAAGGACGGGGGGCACCTTCTCACCCAGACCTGGAGCCCATGCAAAGGCGGTCACTCCAGGGTCCAGAGGCCCAGGCCGTTGAAGAAAACACACATAGCAGGGAGCCCGTGGCCTGCCCATTCCCTGGCACACCCCACCAGCATCACCCTCTCCTCTCAGCCACGGAGTGAGCCAGGCTTCCAGAAAGGGCGTGGCCACCACCTAGGCTTCAGTGGGGATCTAGCAGAATCTCTTGCCTTGTAACTGCACACCCCATCGGCCCGTCAGCCTCCCTGTGACAGGGCAGAGTGCGAACCAGACATGGGCTCTCAGCTGCTCCCTACACAGCACTCGCCACAGCCTGGAGACATCTGCAGTCCACACCATGTGGACAGGGCACCGTGAAGGCCGCGACAGCTTCCCACCGCCAAGACTCCTCCAGCACCAAGGGACGCACACGCCCAGTCTGAGAAACCGAGTCAGACCACAAAGGCTGGCAACGCTCCAGGAATACTCAAAACAAGCAGAGGACTTACTTAGACGCAGGATTTCCTGTAAATTCACACTCTGCTTCGGCTATTCCTCTAACTTGCTTCTGCATCTGTAGTGAGGCCTTTATTACCCAATGAAACCTAGGACAAAATCTCCTTTTAACCCGGCGGGACCGGGACCTCAGGGCTCAGAGAGCCCAGGCTGCACGGGACCGACCTCTGCACGCCCTTGCTACCCTTGGTGAATGAATGCTAAGGACGTGACTACAAGTCAGAAGGAGACGGCCTCACTCCTACCACTGAAAGCTAATGTTGATCACGATTTCTGGTTGCTCACTTGGGTCAGGAACACCATCAGATTGGCAGCAGCGACCCGTTTTCCACAGCCACACGCAGCCTACACGGTCACTGCCAGTGCTTGCCCAGCGGCCCTCCCCATCACTGATGACTGGTGCACAAGGGCCCCGTGGAGCCCAGGGATGTGCAGACTGTACCCCAGAAACATGTTTAGTGCAAACTCCAGTACGGTCAAGTGAGCAAAAATCCACAGTGCAGACCGTAGCACTGAAATAACCTGGTGAAAGACTGACAGGAAGACCAGAACTCGGGACTGTGGCAGGGGAGGAAGCGTGAGGGCCCCACGCCGTGGCCCTAAAGCCCCCCAGCCCGAGGGCGTGGGTCACAGTCACCTCTTACTTTCTTCACCTGAGGCTTTGGCTTCTGGCCCTGTTCACTGTGGCGGGGCTGCCCCTGGGGGAACTGGCCAGTTCTGAGAGGCAGGAGCCTGCCCACAAGTGCACCTCTCAGGTTCAAATCCACTGGCCCACAGCCCACACCCCTCAGCCCCTGCATGGGCCTCTCACACTCTGGGCCACTGTCCACTTGTCCTCACCACCCCATAGCTGGGTACCCAGCAATTGAGATAGGCCCTGACCAACCCATCCTAAGCCCGTGTGCCTGCTGCGCCTGCTCCTTCCCGAGGAAACACCGAGGACGGCGTGTCAGGTGCCCTCCAGTGCTCCCCTCGTGGCACGCGCCCTCCCCCAGGGGACTGTGCACAGCACCCCCTATATGGTATGAGGTGTCTCCGGATCTGCCAGCCGCCCGCATCTCAGATGCTCTGCACGGCAGCAGGCAAGGGAGGAGGCAGGTGCCAGCAGGCCCTGGCACTCAGAAAGGAATGGGGGGTGGGGTCTGCCGTCCCTCGGGGGTGGGGGGCCCCTCTCTGAGCGTGACGTCCACGTGGGACGTACTCAGAACTCAGTAAAGAAGTCGAGGGAGAGGAACCAGGGCCAGGTCAGGCAGGAAGGACGGGCGGCGCTGCCATCGCTGGGAGGGGGATGCCGGCACCTGCACTTGCTCTCCAGGCACAGGGGGCCAGGCCCCATCTCTCAGGACTCGGGGGCATCTCCTGTGGCTCCCTGCAGAGGCCCCCTGCAGTCTCTCCTCCTTTCCCTGTCTGGCCCCAGCTCCCACCACATTCTCCCCTTCAGTTTTCATGGCTCTTTACTTCATCCTTACGCCCCCTTTCCACTGTCCCTCCCCCTCCCTAGGGGAGGGCTGCTGTGCACAGCTGGGCGGCCTCTCCCTGCGGTGGAGCCTCAGGTTCCTGCCCCAGGGGGCTTTGCCTGGACCTGATCTGAAGGGTCCTGGCTGGCTCCTAACGTCCACGGGGGCAAGATCTGCACCGTGTCCAGCAGCCACGGCACAGCCGAGGGGCTGGGAGAGAGCGCTCCTGAGGCCGGGTCCTCTCTCATGCCAGTGTCCCTCTCTGTGCAGCCCAGCAGTGCCCAGCACATGCACTCAGGTCCCCTATGAAATCCGTCTACACTGACCCCCAGGGTCACATCCTGGGTCGGTGTCACCGAAACCCTGGGGGAGTGGCTCCTGTCCTCCCTTGCCACAAGGCTGTCAAGGTGATGGCTGCTTGCTGAGTTAGGGACCACAGGGAGGCAGGTGGCCCAGGGACAGGCGGGTGTCATGGAGGGCAGCTGTCCTGAGGCCTCCCCTCCCTGTCAGGGGCTCCAGGTCACAGGGAGAGAAATGGCCACCGTGATGGTGACCCCCGGGTATAGAGCCTCAATATCCCATTGTGTGGCTACTCGTGAATGCTGCCCCTCATGGAGTCATCCGTGGTCAGATGTATACTTCTCAGGGGTTATTTGGTACAGAACGAAAGCACAGGTCATTTTAAAAATGGATGAACTGCGCTGCCTCAGTGTGGGCCCTAAAAGGCATTTCCCGTTGGTGAAGACCCATGGTTCGTGCTCAGTGACGACTTGACCTCAGACCACGGGTCACTGCCCAGAACCAGAGCCCGGCGTTGGGCAGAGACTCTCCCCAGGGCTTCCATGCACTGGCTCTGGGGGCTGAGGTCCACAAAGGCCTGAAAGGCAGCGGCTAAACTCAGAGGGGAGTCAGCCAGCGACGGGGACGGGGCTGCGGACCTTACGCAGACGTCCATGAAGGTCCCCGGTGTGAGCTACTGCTTGCCCCTTGAAGCTGTGCAGTGTCCAGCAGGTGCATCTGACGAGCGATTGACCCTAAGCCGCAAGCAGCAATGGGACCGAGCACCCCAACGGCCCTACCTAAAGCCACTGGGAACTTAGCTCCCTGATACGCCTCACCCCAAAGCATGAGTGATTTCCTCCAAAAAAAATTCACACTTTGTATGTATGGCCATTTACCAACTCTGCTTGAGAAGTCTAGCCTAAAATCACTGAAAAATGAAAATAAAACATGTTCATCACCGTAAATTCACAAGTGAAACAGCAGATTAAAGGGAAATTAGCAAATCATTCAGGTGACTGTGAAGTTTTTTTTCTTCTTTTTAACGTATACCAGGATACCAAAAATGCTCATGGACGTAGCAACAAACGCATCGAGCAGAAAGAAAACGGAATACAAGACACGAAGGGACAGCGGACCCCGAGGACAGCCAAGGGACCACGGGCACAGGAAAACATCTCTGGTCTTTCCTAGACCGAGCAGAAAGAACCCAGCAACCCACGCTCCCTCCTGCACCGACGAGAGCTCTCGGGGTGGAAGACAGGCCCCCGACGCCCCGTGGACGGGGACAGAGCCCTGCACACCAGGGTGCTTCCGGCCCTGGCTTCCCCTCGCCCCATCATCACATCTTAGCCAGGCAGAATGCCGCAGGGAGACACCTGGCCTCTGGCTGGGGGTCCTGTGCCTCGCTCCTAAGGGCACACGCACCCCTGCCTTCCCCGGGGTTGTGCCCTCGTGCTGTGCGGCAGGACCTGCTCACAACACTGCGCCAGGGTCGATTCCACGGGAAGCATTTCGGCGAGCAGAGACGCGGGCGTACCTGTCCTTAATGTGCTCGGGAGAGCCGAGGCAGCTGAAGCTGCCGTGGACCATCACAGCCAGTCTCGTGCACAGCACCTCGCACTCCTCCATGCTGCGGGAAGGAAGAAGACACACGTGAACCCGCGCCAAGGCCGCCCGCTAACTGTGCACGTAAGACAAACGCTCATGACGATCAACAAAGTGCCCTGAACACAGACGCTGTGCTGGTCACAGTGACATAACTGAGTTATCAGCAGGTCTACACACTAGTAGGACCACTTCCAAAATAAATACTGGAGAAACATTTAGCAATAACACAAAACCACAAAACAAGTATGACGTTGACAAATTAAAGTGAACATTTGATGAAAAGGAATAAGAGGGTCTGGCTCTGGGGCACAGCAGGTTAACGCCCTGGCCTGAAGCATCCTATATGGTCTCTGGTTCAAGACCCGGCTGCTCCTCTTCCAATCCAGCTCTCTGCTGTGGCCTGGGAACACAGTAGAAGATGGCCCAAGTGCTTGGGACCCTGCACCCACGTGGGAGGCCTGGAAGAAGCTGCTGATTCCTGGCTTCAGATTGCACAGCTCTGGCCATTGCGGCCAACTGGAGAGTGAACCAGTGGATGGAAGACCTCTCTCTCCCTCCCTTCCTCCCCCCTTCCTCCCTTCCTCCCCCTCCTTCCCTCCCTCCCTCCCTCCCCCCTTCCTCTCTCTCCCTCCCTCTCCCTCCCTTCTTCCCCCCTTCCTCTCTCTCCCTCCCTCTCCCTCCCTTCCTCCCCCTCCTTCCCTCCCTCCCTCCGTCTCTCTCCCTCCTTCTCTCTCTCCCTTCCTTCCTCCCTTCCTCCCTCTCTCCCTCCCTCTCTCTCTCCCTCCCTCTCTTCTCTCCCTCCCTCCTTCTCTCTCTCTGCCTCTCCTTCTCTCTGTGTAACTCTGACTTTCAAATAAATAAATATATCTTAAAAAAAAGGAAAGGAATAAGAAACTTCACTAGAGGGCACAAATGAAATCTTGATTCAATGAAAGGAAGTCTGAAATAAAGGGAAAATGGATATTTTCAAAATGAGACAATTTTTACAACTTAAAAAGTAGGATAATAAAGTAGTATACTGTTAATATAAACATAAAATTTTACATTAGTATAAAATACAAGTGAATTCATTATATATAAAATATAAATGCAAGTTTTAATTTATAATAAAAGTGTTAAAGACTTATAACTTATAATTGTATTATTATGGCCGGCGCCGCAGCTCACTAGGCTAATCCTCCGCCCTGCGGCGCCGGCACACCGGGTTCTAGTCCCGGTTGGGGCGCCAGATTCTGTCCTGGTTGCCCCTCTTCCAGGCCAGCTCTCTGCTGTGGCCAGGGAGTGCAGTGGAGGATGGCCCAGGTGCTTGGGCCCTGCACCCCATGGGAGACCAGGAGAAGCACCTGGCTCCTGCCATCGGATCAGCGCGGTGCGCCGGCCGCAGCGCGCCAGCCGCGGCGGCCATTGGAGAGTGAACCAACGGCAAAGGAAGACCTTTCTCTCTGTCTCTCTCTCTCACTGTCCACTCTGCCTGTCAAAAAAATTGTATTATTATAATTCAGATAGAGTGTTATACCAATAAAATTTTAAATTTGTTGACTCCATGAGAAAAATAATTGAAAATACACTTTTAAAATCACTCAGCCAGGGGCCGGCATTGTGGCCTAGTGGGTAAAGCTGCCATGTGCAGTGCCGATATCCCATACAGGCCGGTTCTAGTCTCAGCTGCTTCACTTCTGATCCAGCTCTCTGCTATGGCCTGGGAAAGCAGTAGAAGATGGCTCAAGTACCTGGGCCCCTGCACCCACATGGGAGACTTGGAAGAGGCTCTTGGCTTTGGCCTAGGCTAGATCTCGCTGTTGCGGCCATTTAGAGAGTGAATCAGCCAATGGACAATCTCTCTCTCTCTGCCTCTCCTTCTCTGTAACTCTTTCAAATAAATGAATAAATAAATAAATAACTTAGAACGAACAGAATGAGTAGGGGTTGACCTATTTACAATAAAAAAAATTCACATATTAGCCAAACAAAATAAATCCAATACAGAAAAGAGGCCAAATAAAACATACAAAATATTCAAAGAACTGTTCATGGCTAATAAACATCAAGAAATTTCACCATTATCCCTCAAATAAATTAATTTGAAACTATTTTCTAGCCAGAAATACATTTATCATGTGTACTCTGCTACACTGCAGAGGAAAATGTGCCTTTTGCATCCTTTTTTCAAGTGAAAACAACGAGTTCTCAGATCAGAAAGTATTCAGAGCTAAAAACCATTTTCTCAGTAATTCTAAGTAAATCATCTCACATACAGCTGATGGAAGTAAACTGGTCTAACTTTCTGAAAACCAATTCCTTTCCTAGGACCTTGCCCTAGGGAACACAGACACCATGGATGTATGCAGCAAGTTACTTATAAAAGTAAGAAACTGGACTCGGGTGAGCTCAGGATACCATAACGCACATGTGGGTGAACGCATCCTGCTAATCAGCACTGAAACAGTGGTCTCTCGAGCCGCTAACACGCTGGGGAAAGGCACCGACACAGCAGTAGTAAAATGATGGTGCACATTAAGAAAAAGGCACACGCTGTGAAAACACATCCGGGGGCAGAAACATGTGAAGTGCATGATCAGCAGCCGCTGACAAGTGAAACTGATGGTGGCTTTACGTCCTTCTTTGCTCGCTCTGTATCATCTATGCTTTCTACAGAAGCACGGGCTACTTTCACCCCTGGGCAGCAGTGCTAAAGCGTCCTGTCGTCCGTGTCAGTGATGTTCCCATCGGGATGGCTGTGCTGAGCATCCCTTGCAGCTAGATGCGTGCGGGCAGCAGCGCAGGTGAACTCTGGGTCCTGCTGAAATAGAGCAAGCTGCTGACCTGGTGTTGTGCTGTCTGCTCCACCTGAGCCGGGATACAGGAAAGTCGACATGGACCATGACAAGGAGAGCAACTCACAGGTGAGTCGGTGACGCGTGAGGAGCAGTGAGGACTTGGTCACCCTCTGGGGCACAGTCCACAGAGACAAATCGTCAAGCAAGGGGAAGACAGTGTAACTGAGCCAGCTGCAACACTGGCATTCCATGCCGCAGTGCGGGCGAGTCCCGGCTTTTCTTCCCTTTGGCCTTCTGACAAATTCACCTGACAATGCAGCAGGTGATGGCCCTGCCGCCTACTGGAGACCTGGATGGAGCTGCTGGCTCCTGGCTTTGACCTGGTCCAGACCCGCCACGGTGGTCATCTGGGGAATGAATCCAGCAGGTGGAAGATGGGTTGCTCACACACTCTCCCCCCGTCGCTCTGCCTTTCAAACAAATAACTAAATCTTTTTTTTTTTTTTTTTTTTGACAGGCAGAGTGGACAGTGAGAGAGAGAGACAGAGAGAAAGGTCTTCCTTTGCCGTTGGTTCACCCTCCAATGGCCGCCGCGGCCAGCGTGCTGCGGCCGGCGCACCGCGCTGATCCGAAGCCAGGAGCCAGGTACTTATCCTGGTCTCCCATGGGGTGCAGGGCCCAAGCACTTGGGCCATCCTCCACTGCACTCCCGGGCCACAGCAGAGGGCTGGCCTGGAAGAGGGGCAACCGGGACAGAATCCGGCACCCCGACCGGGACTAGAACCTGGTGTGCCGGCGCCGCAAGGCAGAGGATTAGCCTAGTGAGCCGCGGCACCAGCCAAATAACTAAATCTTAACAAAAATAAAACAGTCTGGATCTTTGCATCTCATGGCTATGGGCAGACTTGGGGGCACGAACACACACCGTGAAGGGAGATTTAAGAGTGAAGTGCATGGATGTGTGACCTTCCTGAGAAGTCTACACAAGTATGTGCCCCGTGAGAAATAAGTGGCACGCGTGTGGTGACAACGGTTCACCCCTCCCTGGATCCTGTCCCTCAAAAACTCCAGCAAAACAAATCCAGCAAAGTCACCATTAGCAAGAAATACACAAATCGTGGTAAAGAGGGGATGTATCAAATTTAACTAACTTTAAATAAACTCACATTTCCTGAAAAGAAACAGAAAAACAACAAACAAAAAAATCAGAGGTAGAACTTCTGGCTGTGCCCAAGTGAAGAAACTGGAAACTCTTTTCCCCAAAGCAACTTTAATTCTGGATAAAATTAACAAAATGACTACTTCAGGATGCTGGGAATTGATTTAATTACTCAAAATCTGAGAAGCACTTGCAGCTGGCAAACTGCTAAAAGTAAGAAGGGCATCGGTTTGTGGGCTGAAAGCCTGGGGCTGCAGCCACCCTCCCCACCCGCCCCAACAAGCAGCCACGAGAATCGGCAGCCTCTGCCCTGGTTACAGGGTGCAGCCACTCTCGGTCACTGAGCAGTGCCGGGCCCAGTGACACCGCTCGTGTGCAGGAGTGTGTTGGGGCAAGCAAGCAGGAAGGGTCCAGCATCTCCAGTATCTGCCAGAGGTGGCTCCCGTAGACTAAATCATGTGGCTATAGCATGCATAGAGCCCAAGACCATCATAGTCCTTGTCAACACAGCAGGAAGGAAGACACAAAAGAATCCAGGAAAACTGGGAAAGCTTGCAAGTGGCCTGAAAAGACAGATCCACAGGGAGGGGACAGAAACACAAGAGGGATGAACCCAACCTCTGTCCACTCACAGGCTGGTGACTAGCCTAGGTGAAAACAGGGGCCATGCCTATGCAATCAGTCTTTAAAACATGTAAACAAATTTAAAAACTAACACAGGCATCAATAGCCACTCATTGATGGGAAATTTTCATAGACTAACCTCAACACAAAAAGGATAAGCATTTAAAAAAAAAAAAAAAACTGGCAAGGCCAGCGCCGCGGCTCACTAGGCTAATCCTCCACCTTGCAGCACCGGCACACCGGGTTCTAGTCCCGGTCGGGGCACCGGATTCTGTCCCGGTTGCCCCTCTTCCAGGCCAGCTCTCTGCTGTGGCCAGGGAGTGCAGTGGAGGATGGCCCAAGTGCTTGGGCCCTGCACCCCATGGGAGATCAGGAGAGGCACCTGGCTCCTGCCATCAGATCAGCACGGTGCGCCCACTGCAGCGGCCACTGGGGGTGAACCAATGGAAAAGGAAGACCTTTCTCTCTGTCTCTCTCTCTCTCTCACTCTCCACTCTGCCTGTCAAAAAACAAACAAACAAACAAAAAAATGGCAATAACAACAGCCTCAAGGGAGAGGTGGTGCATCAGAACACAGAGCTCTACAATAATCTAAAGTGTTCAGGTTTCAATAAAAAAAATTATTAAGGCATGCAAAAAATAAAACAGGGATATGTGAATCATACTCAGGGGAAAAAAAGAAGTCAATAGAAGTTGTTTCTAAGTGACTCTAGACTTTATATTTAGCAGAAAAAAATCAATGCAGCTATGATAAATACAGCCAAGAGCAGACCAAGATGGCTGAATAGAGCAGAAGGCAGATCTATGGTTTCCTGGGCTGGGGCTTTGAATGGGCGGTGGTGTGGAAAAATCTCAGATGCTAACATCTTGACACTTTACTCAGCATATTCTACGTAAGCGAAGGGATAAGGCCTGATCTCCATTGTATCTTCAGGATTTCTATTAGCTAAACCATATTGCTCATCCCCTTGACCTGGTTTTATGGACTCTACATTTGCATTGCTGTGTGTCCTAGAACAGTGTATCATGCAGTTCAAAAGATGCCAATACTTTACAAAGCTAATTACAAAATTCTAAAGTGAAAGAAAACATCTGAGCAGATAGTAACCTGTTGATTGTCTCACCTAATTCTACCGACTGGGATAAGAGTCCTTGCACAGAGAGGAGTCGGCAGATCGTCTGGAAAACCTGAGAGACGGTCTGGCTCTCACCTTGGGCGGTCCATCGATAAAAATCACTCAGCCCAAATTCCAGTTCAGCCACCTGCTTGCTTTGTGGCCTTGGGTATGTTATTTAACCTCTCCCTCTCCCTCTCCCTCTCCCTCTCCCTCTCCCTCTCCCTCTCCCTCTCCCCCCTCTCTCCCTCCTCCCCTTGCCCCACCCCCAACTACACAATACAGATTGACAACCGTATCACCAGCACAATGCTGAAAGACGGAGGACCGTCTTTAGAGCAAGGCAGGCTGAGTGTGCCGTGCCACTTCTGGCCAGGATGCACCCTGCACTCCCAGTGCTCCACGGCCTCATTCAGGAAACAGCACGAGCGGAGACTGGGCTCACCTGTGGGAGGTCAGCACCGCGGCACAGCCTTCCCGGACCTCTGCCAGGATTGTTTGCCACAGGTACCGCTTAGAGCAGGGATCCATCCCAGAGCTGGGCTCATCCTGCAGGAAAGAAAACAAGCGGCGATGGACACTGGAAAACGCACGTGGAAAGCTGCACTCTGCAACGCAGGCCCAGGCTGAGAGGATGTCCCCGCTCAGCTTCCACAGGCCCCTCTGTGGACTTCCATGCACTCTTCTCAACAAAGCCAGAAGGGGAAGGTGAGAACCACAAGCCACACTCACAAGTGGCTGCCTGGCTGCCCACTCCTGCGCGACGCCCCCCAGGAGGCCCACTTCCGTCTTGCATCATAGACTGCTGAGGGGATCTGCACAGCTGAGAGCAGCCGGGAGCAGGGCGGAGAAGCCGTGGCCTCTCACGTCTGTGGGAGGCTTCCCTGCAGGCCTGACTCCACTCTTGTCCAAGGCTGGCTTCCCGGGGTGACCCCACAGAGGACAAGTGTGAGTATCTCACACCAGCCGCCCACGTAGCTCTGGGATTCAGGGCAGACAGACACACGGGAGCATTTCAGAGCAATGTCCTAGGAAGAGCGATTGAGAAGGCTTTGGCATCTGGCCTGGCTTTGTGGGACTGAGAAGAAAAGTCACCCAATATTAAAAGTCCCCCTTCATAGCAAGGATATCCAAGAGATGTGCAGTCGGTCTGACAGAACATCAGACTGGCTGGTAAGGACGTTTCCCTCCCAGAGATACTCAGTAAAGGAGGAAGAGAGGAGCATTCTCCAAATGTGAGCTCGGAACATAAAAAATAAATCAGGGATCATGAATCACCAAAGGGATACCATAATATTCCAACAACTGACCCCAAGGAAATAACTTTAAATTGGTTGACACAGAATTCGAAATAATTACTCATTTTTAAAGAGTTATTTATTTACTTATTTGAAAGTCAGAGTTGCAGAGAAACAGAGAGAAACAGCGAGGTCTTCCAGCTGCTGGTCCACTCCCCAGATGGCCACAATGGCTGGGGGAGGGCCAGGCTGAAGCCAGGAGCCAAGAGCTTCATCCTGGCCTCCCATGTGGGTGGCAGGGGCATCTTTCACTGTTTTTCCCAGGCCATTAGCAGGGAGCTGGATCAGAAGCTGAGCAGCCAGAACACAAACCAGCACCCATGTAGGATGCTGGCATTGCAGGCTGTGGCTTTACCCACTATGCCAGAACACCAGCCCCCAAAATATTACTTAAAGGAAACTCAGTGAGCTACAGATGGACACAAATAAGAAAGCTCAATTAAATCAGAGAAATACTATACACAAACAGAAAGAGAAGTTCAAAAAATAGAAGCAATAATGAAGCAAGTAGAAATTCTAGAGTAGAAAAATGCAATGAATGAAAACAAAAATGCAAAATGTCAACAATCATCCTAAGTACATGAAATAATCCAAATCTTGAAAATAGGTTATTTGAACTTATCTAGCCATTGGAACATACAAAAAGGATGAAAAGAAACGATAAAGTCTGTTAAGATGTACGGGACTCCATCAGTGGCACTAACAGTTGCATTGAGATTTATGAAGAAAAGGGAAAAGTCATATACAGCAGAATCTACTGTGATTACATGTCTGTTCTCTCCAAAATTCATGTTGAAATTTAACCCCTAATGCAACGGTGTGGTGTGGCCTTTGGGCCCACATCTGCGTACAGAATTAGGTGCCCTTTGAAAAGGGCCTGACGGAGGAACTGTCCCTTTTGGCCCTCCTGGCATCTACCAGGAGAGGCACAGCATTCCTCCCCTGTGGAGGGTGCAGGCTCCAAGGAGCCGACTTGGAGCAGAGACAGAATCCGCACCAGACATGTGAACCTCCGGATACCTTGACCTTGGACTTCTCAGGCTCCAGACTGGTAGAAATAAATCCCTGCCCTTTACAACCACCAGTTCTGCGCCATTCTATATGAGTAGAACAAGGGGACTAACAGGGACTAACGTTAACAATAACACGTTGTACCCCTGAAACTTGCTAAGAGGGTAGTTCTCAAGTGTTCCAACCACATGTTCAGGAAAAGCATAGTGACTACATGAGGGTCTAAGGATGCCAACTAGCTTGACTGCACAATCAGTGCACGCTGTACATGCAAAACTACATCCAAAACTACATTACACACCACACACATACACGACTTGTATTTGTCAATCACACCTCATTTAAGCTGGGGGAGGGGCGGGGGAGAAGCCAGGGTTATTTTCACCTCAGGTTGGCTCCCCTTCATGATCTGCTTCGATAAGCCAACTGTCACACAATTCCAAGAGGAGAACCCCTGGAAAGGCGTACGATGGCAGGAAACAGCTTCATCAAAGAAATTGTTTCTTGGAACCTGAAGCTTACTCCTTCAACAAACTCCAAGGCACTCCTCATCTGAACCACTTTGGAGAGAAATCTTGTCTAACGCTACGATGCATTTCTGAGCAGGAAGCACCAAACACATTTATCTTGAGAGCTTTGAGTCATCACCTCTCCCAAGAAGAAAACAGAAGCAAGGCTGGCAGTGGGGAGGGAGGGAAGTCACCAGGCAGAAAAATAAAACACTCCTTTCTGCCAAACAGGAGATGCATGAGGGTCAGCTACGGCCGCAGTGAGAGAGCTGTGACAGTGCATCGTTCAGGTCCAGCGTTTCCCTGATTCCCACTTTGGCGTCAGCTCTGGGAGGCCATCTCACCTCTCTGGACATCAGCAGTATCCCTTCCCCCATGACTGACAGACACTGTCAACACAGCGACCGATGCAGGTTGTGGGTTTATGGAGTGCCAAGGGCGGGGCTACGTGCTGGACGCAGGTTATTCCATTTACTGCTTTCTACGGCTCTTGCGGCAGATCCTATCACCAGAACCATTCAGATGAGGAGCAAGCAGACCCGAAACAGGCAAGTTTGCTTGTGGGAGTAGCAGAGGCAGAGTCTGAACCAGTCAGACTCCAGACTCCCGCATGTCCGGGGCAGAGAGCGCCAGGGTCTGTGGCAGAGCCCCCTCAGGGTGTGCAGCGGGCCTGGGACACGGCTCCAGACGAGGGCTCCTTGGCTGACTGAGGAAGATGCTCCGAGCTGGACTGAGCACAGTCAAGTTCTGCAGCAAGTACTGGATGCTCAGGTCTCAGGGCTGCTAACTTTTAGCACAGCCAGCCTCACCTTGCTGTTTGTAAACAGCAGGCTGTGCAATTGCTAGTGGGTAACACTGGACTCCAGAGTATGAGATTATACACTAGTCTTCAATTTTGGATCTTGCAACAGCAAACGTAAAGAAAAGGCAATACTGGGTGAGTGTCCAGGAGACAACCAGCAACTGACAGGACTGTTCTTCCAACCCAGGCTTTCTCCATCTACATGAGGCCCCCACAGATGGGAGGAACAGGAGAGAAGGCTCTGCCGCGTCTCCATCCTTCCTGACACCCTCAGACTTCTCATCAGGGCGAGGCCTGGGATGCACTCTGGGGACAGAGGCCAATCCATGGCACGAGGACCAGAGCCGCTCTCGATTGTCTGAATGGGGTTATTTCTGTGATGGCCACTTTTAAAATGTAAGGCAACTGGCTCTATTTCTAGACAATCGTCACTTCTAATTACTGCTCTGATCCAGCTCAACTGAATAGGCTTCAGTGCCCAGATTGCAGACTGCCCATCTCAAGACCATTGCACACGCTCCCTCTCACCCCACAGCCCCTGTCTGCACCCTGCACCCTGGCGCTGTCCTCAGCGCTCCCCACGGACAGCCGCCCACTGCAGCCGTGATTCACCATTACGGAGGAAGACTTAGGAGCAAGATGCTGCAGGAGGAACACAGAGGTTTGGGGATTCAGCTGAATTCTAACACGCTCGCAAAATACTGTTGTAACGTTAAAACCTCATTAAATTTTCAACTTGACAAATATAAGTAGATATCAAAAGATAAATGTTTTCTCCCTGTAAAATTCCAACGATGTTTTACGTTCTGTTTGGGAAATGTCAACTTGGGCTCTGCAGCTGCTCTCTGGAAGAACTCAGTGGTCAAAATGAGTGAGCAAACGCACACAGTGGCTGTTCCCTGGCGTCTCCTCCACTCACCAATAAAAGAATGTCGGGTTTCCCCACCAGGGCCAGCGCCGTGGAGAGTTTCCGCTTGGTACCCCCACTGTAGGTGGCCACCAGTTTGTCCGCGTGGGCTTCGAGGTGCAAGCGCCTCAGGAGGTCTCCGACAACCTGGAAAAGAGGAGCTGACCATGAACAGTGGCCCCCTCCACCCCTCACGGTGCCCCCTGGGTGCCGCATCAGCTCCGAGGCCTGCTCCTCTCTCACATAACCAGCCCTCCACTCCCATGGTCACGGGGACACCTGCATCCCCTCCCAAAGTAAGGAGAAGCACAGAACAGGCGGGCTCTTCTGTGCCTGCTGCTGTCGCCCTGTTGGCCAGAGAACTTGGTCTGCAGCCCAGGGGAGCAGGGAACAGCACCAAGGCGGAGCCCGACAGAAAATGCACAGTAACCAGGAAAGAGCACCAAGGCGGAGCCCGACAGAAAATGTACAGGAAGGGGAGTGGGGAAAGTGGCTCAGAAAGAGCACCGAGAAGCAGCTGAACAGGGAGAGCAACAGAGCGAAGTGCCTGACCCTCCAGGAGGAGTGAGCTCTTGATGTCTCCCCAAGGAAGCCATCTTTAGAGCCTGCACTTGGTTTATAAGGGAAGACGTGGGGCAATGTCTGCGACGCGGAGCCGCAGGGAGCCCTCCCCACGGGGCCCTGGGACTGCCCGGGCCCTGTGCTCACAGCTGTGAGTGCTGGCCCTGATTCTCCCCCACCCTCCAGACTGCCATTCCTGCTCCTCCTCAAAGACCCCGCGCGCGCAGCCTTCACTCTCCCCAGCAACAACCCCGGTCCGCGTCTGTGGACCACACTCCGATTTCACACTTCCTGCTGGAATCCGTGCCACGTGCCACGCCGCTCTCTGCCTGCTCCCAAGCGGCACTGACCCCTCCCAGGGCCCAAATCACGCAACTTCTTTGTTACTAACTCTGCATAGTTAGGAAAACTTTGTCAACAGTTTTATCTCACTCTTGTAACTAGAGTTATTTACAGATTCATATTTTCATATGATCGTACAACCAAACTAGCCAAGATCCTAATTTCGAATTCTGGAAAAAATCTACAGTATTATGACAGTGTGTTAATAACTGTGTGTCCTAAATAGCTACATAACATAGCTTCAGTCTAAGGCGTGTATATTTACAATAGACACACAGAAGTTGGGATTCCAATGGCAATGACAGGTGGGTCATGTCAGCACCCACAGCAGAGCATCCGGCTGGAGTCCCCGCTCCTCCACTTCCCAGCCAGCTTCCTGCTCCTGTGCCTGGGAGGCAGCAGACAATGGCTACGTGCTTCAGTCCCTGACACCCGGGGGGGGGGGGGGGGGGACCCAAATGGAGTGCCTGCCCTTGACCTGGCCCAGCCCCACTGTTGGTTGAGGGTATCTGGGGGTGAACTAACACCTGGAGTAGCTCTCCTACCCTCTGTTGCTCTGCCTTTCAGATAAAAAGTGAATACAGATTTTTACTGATGGTGATGTGTGAAACGTTCAGAGCTGTTAAAAATACGAGGATAATATTTATGTCTCTCAACAAAGACTTCCCACCTAAGTAGCTCTTTCACTTCATTTGCGCCTTCACAGCATGATTTAGAAAATGACCAACAGGCACTTTTCCTGTGGTCAGACAAACGCAGATCCCAAGGCCCGATGACTCATGAATCCCAAGTCGTGCGTCTCCTGCCGTCTGCAGCCCGGCGTGTGCTCCTCCTGGAAACTGCAGCCATTTCACCAGGTTGTCTCTGGGGAAACCTCCTCTCCCTGACCCCATTCTCGTCAGCCATTGCAATGAACATGAACTGAATAAAAATGCAAGCGAGTAAATAACTACTCAAACAAAACGCAAACATCTAACAGGGTACGTATGAGTAAGAGCTGCAACGCCTGGCCTCGCAGGATCCAGGCATGAACAAGGGGCGTTAACAGTCTCCAAACTGTCCTCCAAGAGGAACCACCAAGAAGTAGAAACCAGTCCTAGGTGAACAGGGCAGATGGAGGAGGGCATCTAGGGAGGCTCCCTGGAGGAGGTGGCACTTGTCCCCATGGGAGAGAAGGACCCTAACAGTGCGACAGACATTCAGAGGCGGCCATCTTGTGAAGAACACAAATACTAATAGTTGTGAAGTTGGCATAAATGGAAAATGGGGAAAACAATATTTTTGGTTGTTTTTAGATCCATAAAAATATCTACCCAAATAAAAATATAATGGATTAGAAATGTTCATTTCACTCTTACCCATTTTATTCAAAGGCTGGCAATGCATAAGGAAAACTTGACCAACAGACAAATAAAATAGAATAGTAACTATATATATGTGGAAATGTATGTCAGAGTGATGAGAGGGATTCTGGGTAAACTCACCAATTACTGCTTGTCTTTATGAAGCCAGAGACACACGTCCCGTCCCCCCTCTTTCATGAAGCTGGGGGACACACGTCACGTCCCCCCACTTTCATGAAGCCGGGAGGCACACGTCACGTCCCCCCTCTTTCATGAAGCCGGGGACACACGTCCCGTCCCCCCCCTTTCATGAAGCTGGGGACACACGTCCTGCCCCCCCACTTTCATGAAGCCGGGGACACACGTCCCGTCCCCCCTCTTTCATGAAGCTGGGGACACACGTCCTGCCCCCTCATTTTCACAGACTGAATGCTGCAGCCTGAAAGCCCTGGACTGCTTACCTACAGGGAAGATTCCAGAACAGGCAGAAACCATGTATGCGTCACCTAATGTTCTCCGAGTGTCACACTTTCAGGAAATAACTGAAAATGGCCTAATAGGAAGCAGTCTTTTCTGCACTCAGCACCACTGTCAAAATAACAGGAAATGCAACAGAATTGCAACTGTAGCTGCCGAAGTACCACGTGGTTCACACACAGCCCTGGTCTCCGTCACCTCTGACCAGGGAAAACACGCGACGTGGTACACACACAGCCCTGGTCTCCGTCACCTCTGACCAGGAAAACACGCGACATGGTTCACACTCAGCCCTGGTCTCCATCATCTCTGACCAGGGAAAACACGCGACATGGTTCACACTCAGCCCTGGTCTCCATCATCTCTGACCAGGGAAAACACGCGACATGGTTCACACTCAGCCCTGGTCTCCATCATCTCTGACCAGGGAAAACACGCGACGTGGTTCACACACAGCCCTGGTCTCCGTCACCTCTGACCAGGAAAACACGCGACCTGGTTCACACACAGCCCTGGTCTCCGTCACCTCTGACCACGGAAAACACGCCACGTGGTTCACACACAGCCCTGGTCTCCATCACCTCTGACCAGGGAAAACACGCGACCTGGTTCACACACAGCCCTGGTCTCCGTCACCTCTGACCAGGGAAACACGCGACATGGTTCACACTCAGCCCTGGTCTCTTCCTTAGAGGAACAGTATTTTGTTTCATTTTGTTTTCTCTACGTACTCTTTGTTGAACTCTTTTACTTAGGGTAGTGTTGACTATACAAGCATTAAGTGTACTAAAAAAAAGATTATTGTAAAAATTAACAGTGGGAATCAGAGAGGGAGGGGGTAGAAGGGTTGGGACATGGGTGGGAGGCGGGTGGGGGGAAGAGCCACTATGTTCCTGTAACGGTATAAAGGAAATACGTGAAACCTGTATAATTTAAATAAAATACATATTTTTAAAAAGTCATCTGTGGAGAAGAGGAGGAGAGGAAGACTCGGGATTCTCCTGTTAGAGACACACAGGCGACAGCAAAGCAAGCGCACTAGGGCCCCTCCCAGCACAGAGGAGGCCGCCGTGCAGGATTCTCCAGCTCTGCTCCCCCCGCGGGTGCCGCGTGCGTGGCTGTTCAGGATGACGAGGCCCTGGGACTACCCGCTGCCACTGACTTCTCACGGATTTGATTTTCACCAGCGTCCAGACCGCAGAGCACCCGGCTCCTGACTCACGGGACTCTAACTCGGCACAGAACGGCTTCCAGACTAAATCCAGGCTCCTCATGTTCACTGCACACAGCCGTGTAGTGTGAACAGTGGAGAAACTGGAATCATTGCTTCAGCCTAAAGAACCTAAACTCTGGCTGGTGCCACAGCTCACTAGGCTAATCCTCCGCCTGCGGCGCCGCCACACCGGGTTCTAGTCCCGGTCGGGGCACCGGATTCAGTCCTGGTTGCCCCTCTTCAGTCCAGCTCTCTGCTGTGGCCCAGGAAGGCAGTGGAGGATGGCCCAAGTGCTTGGGCCCTGCACCCCATGGGAGACCAGGAGGAAGCATCTGGCTCCTGGCTTCAGATCAGTGCAGCGCCGGCCGTAGCGGCCACTTGAGGGGTGAACCAATGGAAAAAGAAGACCTCTCTCTCTGTCTCTCTCTCTAACTCTGCCTGTCAAAAAAAAAAAAAAAAAGAACCTAAACTCAGGTCCCATGAAGAAGTATCTTTTGCTCACATAACAAGGTGCAGGTGGGCATGGGGAGGGAGGACACAAGTGACCAGCAAGCTGGTCATGGGTGGGGCTCAGGGCAAGGCTTGAGTCCTGGGGTTGGTGATGGTGGGGACGTCATGAGGATGAGCTGGGCCTCCCCCCCAGCGAGCAAGATGGTCTCTCTGGAGCAAAGGACACAACGCCTGCCTGTGTCGCCACCCAGAGAAGCAGCTTCCTGGAGCCAAGGACCAACAGGAGCAGCGGCGGCACCTGGAGACTGCAAAAGCACCTCCCACACCCTGGGCCCTGCGGGCCTGGTGGGCGGTGCCTCTGGGGCGTCGCTGGGGTCTGGATGTACTCTGCCCCCAAGGGCTCGGGCCCCAGCACCATGCTGTCCAGGGTGAGGCCTGGCGGAAGGTCGTTAGGTCCCTGGGGCACAGCTTTGGACAGGAGAGATGCAGTTCTCAGGACGAGAACAGGCAGTCACCAAGGAGAAGACACAGCCCAGAACCTCTGCTCCTGCCTGGCTCTGTGCGTGCTCCCGACGCCGTCACCCACCACGAGGTGCTCACCGGGGCAGAGCCGACGCTGATGCTGACGCACTCTCGAATCTCCAGAGCTGTGAGCCAAGTCAGCCTGTCTTCTTCACAGGGTTACCCAGCCTCGCGTATTTTGTTACTTTGACAGAAAACACACAGCTCCCAGAGCAGCCCACTAGAAGACAAATCTCAGAGAAGTTCCACGTGCAAGGAGCCGGCACAACCCCCCAGCCTCCATGTCTTCAGCCACCCCAGGAGCTACAGTCTGAACAGGGTGTGGCCCAAGCAGAGAAGATGTTTCTATCCCGAGGTCATGACTGATGCTGATAGGAGGCTGGCTTGATCCAGTTGGGAGGTTTAGAGACAGGCCGAGTGGGGGTGCCGTGGAAGGGGGCTCCTGAGAGAGGGATGTGATGAACCCCAAGTGGGCCTGGCTGTGCTCTCTGCTTCCCTACGATCTTGAGCACGCATTCCGCCATCTATCGCTCTCATCAGATACGAGACCAATGGGGTGATCGATCTTGGACTGCGAACCTCCAAAGCTCCGAGCTCCTTCCTAGCAGCTTCCCCTAAGTCTCTGTGTGGGGATAAGAGGCTGACAAATGCTGCAGGGCACAGACAGTAACGCTGAACTCCTGGCAGAACTAGGAAACCCCTCTTTCACACAAGTAACTGGCTGTGTGTATACTTATGGGGTCTGAGTCAAGAACACCGACCTGGAGCTGGTTACCTGGCTTCAAACAAGAGCTGCAACAGGAGAGCCGTGGCGCTGGGATACCCGACTGTCACCTCCTGGGCCTCAGTTTCCCTGTCTGTAAAGTGGGGACCAAGCATCCTCTCTACTTTACATGTACTGTAAGATACACACCCTGTACCGGGCAAAGAATAAACACTGAAAAATTGGCCGAAATGGCAGTTTTCTGTTTTCACAGGGTGGGCTTGAATCCTTTGCTGGAATGCGCAGGAGCGGAGCTGTTCCGGATTTGCTGTTGTTGCAGCGGCCCTGCACTTTGACTGCGACCCTCCACATAAAGCCAGGTGTGGAATTTTCCACTGGGATCCTGTATCGCTGCTCGAAAAGTTCCGAGTCAGAGGCACTTCAGATCGTTCTTATTTTCAGATTAGGGATGCTCCGCCTGAGTGCCCCCTGTTACCTCGGGGACGCACCTGTTCTAAACTGCAGACACCGCCAGGGAGCTGCCCTCTCTGGGAACAGATGGGAAAGGATGCCACTGGATTAGGGACCTCTGAGTGAGCGCGCCGCAACGCCGTGTGCAACACCAGTGGCAGTGGAAGGAAATGAAGCCAGCTCCTAATGGACAAGCGTTGAAATAACTCTCCCTGGCGGAAGAGTTCATAAAACAATGCCACGAGACAGCTGAGCACCAGCAGGCGATTGCCCTGGGTGACAGGAAGCACCAGTCTGGCTTCAGTGTCAGGAGCCTGAGCACAGCTCCTGCCCAGACAGCAGAGGGGCCACTGAGAGCCCTTGCCAAGCCTGCGCCTCTTTAATCAAAGCTAACAAGCGGAGCTGACAGAGAAGGAGGCCTGTCAAAGACTGAGCCAACAATCAGTCCTGGCTCCAGCAGCCACGGACCTGCGTTGTGCAGGTGTCCTGTGCAGTGGCCAGGTAGCTGCTTTATTAAGACGGGAGGTGGGTCTAGGGGCCAGGGTCCCTAGAATGATACGGCAAGTTTTGCTTTAGTTTGTCTTAAAAGTTACACAGCATAAATAAGAAATGAAGGCTGCAGCATTACAGAAACAGCAGAGAATGAATTTCATGGGCCAGTGAAGGCAATGCTGATTAGTTGTGTCTCCTGTGAGTTCCAGGAGTTTCCATCTCCTGCAGAATCTAATTGAAAATACATCACATAAGCCACTTACTTCTGCTCCTACCTCAGAATCCAGAAATACAAGGCGCACCCCAGACTCTCCCCAGTGATGTGCAGAGAAGGAAAAATGTGCCCGAAGCAACCCTCCTTCCAGGGGCCCCCTCTCTGGGACGTCCTCTGACCTGCTTCGCCGGCCACTGCTGGCAGCAGGAGCACCGGCAGCCGGCCCCTGATCTCTCTGGTTCCACCGGCCTCTTCCTCCTCTCACAGACGGTGATGGGGGTGGGGGAGCAGGGCTGCAGGTCCTGCTCCTCTCTGTTCTCCTGAGGCCACCCAGAAGGTACCCAGCGAGAATCTGCCAGCCCGCTCTGCAGGAGCTGCCACTTCCTTCACCCCCAGTTCCTCCCATCTCTGAGCTCCCTCCTCTGCAAGCCCCCAGGGCACTGAGGTCATGATAGCTGTTCCCAAACAGATTAATAATACAGTCAACGTTGAAGCCATTTAGAAAGGGGGAAAATGAGGGTGCCAAAGTCCCAATGACGTGGAGTATGCTTTAACTCCTCGCACGCGACTTCCTCACACAGACACGGTACAGCAGACTGACTATAACCTCCATATACCCACACTGGGAAATCCCGTCCAGGTAAGTTTATCGGGCGCTGTGTGGCTCCCTCCCCTCACAGGTCAGAGACATCGCTGGGCTGAGACTTGGTCACTCAGCCTTGCTCACTAGGTCCTGTTTGCTGGGACTCCAGGGACACTCACCTCGGGGATGCGCTGCTTGGGAATCCCGCGCAGGCGGCAGTAATAGCGGAGATGTTCCCGACCCGTCAGCAGCCCGTCCAGGGCATCCTGCTGTGGACAGTAGCCAATGAGGATGCCAGCCTCGCCGGCAGAAGACAGAGCCACGTGGTCGCTGTAGAGAGGCAAGGCAGACGGAGAACTGCAGGCACCCCCAGATGACACCAGCCCATTTCTTACCTGCCCACTGCAATTTGCTGAATGCAATTAATTCATTTTATATAGAGAGGATCAACAGATGAGACATGAAGGGTGCCCAGATACCCCACCCCAAATATGCATCTTCGGCACGTGGGTACTTTGAGCTAAAGCAACCGAGAGACAGCAGCTGCAGAAAAAGCTCCAAACCTCCCCGTACTTGAGTAAACAGAGAAATGCGTATTGATAAAGGAAGGGTCCGCTGGTAACGGCATCTACGCATCTCCGTGCCAGGAAGAGAGCTGCTCTCAGAAACAACTCTGCTCCCCAGGAGACGGCCTCTGGGGGAGACGGCCCTTACGCCCCTGGCTCTCCCCTCCAGCAACCACAGCCTTTCCTGCACTGGGCCCAACGTGGAGAACCAGAGGCCAGAGAGCAACAGGAGGATGTAGTCCAACTCCAAGAACGTCAGAGCCAGCAGGGCTGTCTTTCTTCATAACTGATGGGAAAGGAGGACCTTCACCGCTCAGCAAGGTGTGAGCTGGTTGACAGAACTGCCGATGTGGAACACTAAAGCAAGTTCTTCAAGGAGAAAGGTAACACAGTCAACACCTGAATGCCCACAATGCAATGGAGTACAAGTCAAAGTAACAATGTAAGAGACAGGTAAATGCATGACTTTGTCATATTTATTTCTTCTCTATATTATTTTCATGTATCCCCATAATAGAATAACAAGCCCATACCGATGAGCACACAACAAAGAGAGATGTGATGGAACTGAAAGAAGCAGAGCTTTATAAACCATTAGAACTACGTTGGTATAAATAGAAAGGGTTTTAAGTTGTTAATTGTAGTCCTCAAGGAAACTACTAATATACTTGTTCAAAAAGTACACAGTGAAAGAAACAATAAAGAAATTAAAATGGTGCTCAAGAAAAATATGTATTTATGGTAGTGATGGATGAACAAAGGAATAAAAAAGATATAAGACATTAATAAAGAGCAAAATGTTAGATTTGAAACATCTCAATAATCACATTAAACATAAATGAGTCAAACACTCCAAATAAAAGGCAGAGGTCGGCAGAATGGATTTTTTAAAAATGATCCAACTGTACGTTATCTACAAAAGATACACTTTAGAATTAAACTCACAAATAGATTTGAGAGTAACAAAAAGGAAAAAAGAAATATAACTCAAATAGCATTACAACAAGAGCTTTGGTAGCTTTATTAATTCAAATAAGATAGACAAACACTGTTACTATACATAAAGAAAAACATGTTATAATAATAAAGGGGTCAGACTCTCAGAAAGACAGAATAAAAGTACATGTGTTTAGGGGCTGACACTATGGCACAGCAGGTTAAAGCCCTGACCTGCAGCGCTGGCATCCCATGTGGGCACCAGGTCGAGTCATGGCTGCTCCACTTCCAACCTAGCTCTCTGCTATGACCTGGGAAAGCAGTAGAATATGTGCCTCGTAACCATGTGGGAGACCCAGAAGAGGCTCCTGGCTCCTGGCTTCAGATCAGCTCAGCTCTGGCCATTGCAGCCATCTGGGGAATATGCATTTAAATCAAAACCACAATGAGGTTTCACCTCACCCCTGTCAGAATGGCTCTCATACAGAAGTCAACAAACAACAAATGCTGGCAAGGATGTGGGGAGAAGGGTACCCTAATCTACTGTTGGTAGGAATGTAAACTGGTACAACCACTGTGGAAGACATATGGGAATATCTCAGAAAGCTGAATATAGACCTACCATACGGTCCAGCCATCCCTCTCCTGAGAATTTACCCAAAGGAAATGAAATCAGCATACGAAAGAGTTATCCTCATGTTCACTGCAGCTCAATCCACAATAGCTAAGATAAGGAATCAACGCAGATGTCCATCACCTGAAGACTAAAGAAATTATGATATGTATGCACTACAGAATACTATACAGTGGTTAAAAAAGAAATCCTGTCATTTGCAACAAAATGGAAGCAACTGGAAACCATTATACTTAGTGAAATAAGCCAGTCCCAAAAGACAAATACTGTATGTTTCTCTGATCTGTGGTAACAGAGTACCTAAAAGGTAATCTATAGGAAGGAAACTGACACTTTATGATGTGATGACTTTGAACAGCCCTTGTCTTGACCGTTGAGGAACAATGCTTTTTTTTGGTACATTTTTCTTTGTACTATTTGTTTATCCCTCTACTTAGTGTAGGGTTAACCTTATGAGTATAAAGTTAACTAAAAATAGATTCTTCGTAAAAAATAAGAATGGGAATGGGAGACGGAGGAGGAAGAAGGGTGGGAGTATGGATGAGAGGTAGGGTGGGAAGAATCACTGCATTCCTAAATTTGTATATGTGAAATGCATAAAGTTTGTATAAGTAAAATTTTAAAAAATAAACAAAAATATATGCATTTGAGCACAGAGCTGTACAACACATGATGCAAAGCTGATGTTGAACAGAGACAAGGGCAACGCAAGATGACAGCACACTGCATTCAACAACGCACAGAACGACCGGAAGGTCGACACAGACATAAGATGGACAGCACGATAAGAGACCACAGAGCACAGAACTCTCGGCCCGGCCAGAGCAGAACACACATTCTCCTCAGACGCTCAAGCCATGCTCTCCAGAGCGTAAGAACACTCCACACACTTAAAAGGACTGGATGCACACACAGTGTGTTTCCTGACCACAGTGGAGTAAAACTAGAAGCAACCTGGGGAAATCAGAAACATACAGAAAACAAACATACTCCTACATAAGCCATGGGTCAAGAAAAGGTGACAGGGAAATTAAAAAATAGTAACAAAATTGATCAGATTCAGATAAAGCAGTGCATATAAGGAACAGAACACCTATATATTGAGAAAAGAAAATAGATCTCAAAACAATAGCCCAACCACGTACCTAAATTCACTTAGCAGAATCCTCGTAAGTCAGGGACCACCTGTACCAGAAAGCCTGATCGCCAGGGGGGTTTATGGTGTGAAATTCACCATATGCCACATTGATAAAGGCTGAAAACCACACCATACATCAATAGAAAAAACAATGTATTTGACAAGCTTCAGACGCCTCTAACGAGAACACAACAGACTAAAGGGGATTTTACTGTATGATCCTGTTCATGTGAAATTTCCAGAACAGACAAGTCCACAGAGACAGAACACAGACTCGTGGTCGCCGCAGACAGGTGGGGCAGGCAGCAGTGGAGAGTGGGTGCCTGACGGCATGGAGCGACTTTTCAAAGTCACGAAAGTGCTTTCTTCTGAAATTAAATATGGAGACTGGTCGTCAACAATATATTAAAGACCACTGAATTGTCTATACTTACATTTGTGAGGGGCCAGTGCTGCAGTGAGGTTAAGCCTCCACCTGCAGCGCCAGCATCCCATATGGGTACTGGTTCTAGTCCCAGCTGCTCCACTTCCAAACCAGCTCTGTTTATGGCCTGGGAAGGCAGTGGAAGACGGCCCCCATGCCTGGGCCCCTGTATCCACATGGAAGACCTCTAGGAAGCTCCTGGCTCCTGATGGGCTCAGCTCCGCCCACTGTGGCCATCTGGGGAATGAACCAGCAAATGAACACTCTCTCCTTTTCCCTCTCTCTGTAACTCTGCCTCTCAAATAAATAACCAAATCTTTAAAAAATTTGTGAATTTTATTGGATATGTATTATAGCTCAAGGCACAGGATACACAATAAGCTGAATACAAGCACGCGTTAGGGAAGCCATCACATTCCGTCACAGGCGCACAGCGCATGTTCAAAGTATCTGTCAACAACAGGAGCATGAACCAGCTGTTCAACCTGATACAAACGATGCAACCCACAAGACACTGGGGCATAAGCCACTCACACGAGGCTGTATGCTACACGGGCCCATTTATGTAAAACTCACAGTAAAGCCAGGCTGATCTGGGAAGAAAAGCCAGAAAAGTGTTTTTCTGCGACAGGATCAGGCTGAGTTCCCAGCAGTGGTCTATTTCCCAAGGTGAGAGCTGCACGCATGCTGATGTAATAAAATCCAACACACACACACTTATTATCTGTAGTCACTGTGCTTCCCAGTTCAACATTTATATTTAAAAAGTTGTTACTTTCCGCACGTTAATTTGTAAGTCACCCAGCATCATTTCTAACCTGTGAGTCCCATCTGCGTTTGGGGGATGAGTGCCCTCCCCAAGGGATGGTCCCCTCGCCCACCCTCAGCTGTCTCTTGGAGAGCTGAAAGATAGGAAATATGTAGGCAAGCAGTCTCCGCCATTCAAAGGCAGGGAGCATGCATTTCAAACACACTTCTCATTGTTCAGTAAGCACAGGACACTCCCTACCTATGCATTGCTCATGGCCCATATTTGGTCCTTTCTAGTTGATATCTTTGAACTTCAGACCTGGAAATACGTCAGAGCAGGTGAACAACGACCATCCGGAGATGCAAATTCAGCGACAGCAACCGCCTGGCGGATCCCTGCCTTCTCCACCCAGCACCCACTGCAGTGATACCACCCAGTTCCCAGCTACTCAGGAGTGGCACTTTGCAGCAAGGGCACGGTGTCTCAGTGGGGGAAACAAAGATCCCTTTACTCTTCCTTCAAAGTGAGCACCTTCCGTTCAATATGCAATAAGGGAGTGGTTTTGTGATTTGTGGCAATCACATGGGGCCAGCTCTCTGGCACAGCAGGTTAAACTACCACCTGCAGTGCTGGAATTCCGTATGGGTGCATAGTTCGAGTCCCGGCTGCTCCACTCTGATCCAGCTCCCTGCTAATGTGCCTGGGAAAGCAGTGTCAGATGGTCCAAGTGCTTGGGCCCCTGCACCCAAGTGGGAGACCCCCATGAAGCTCCTGACTCCTGGCTTCTGTCTGGCCCAGACTTGGCCGTTGCAACCATTTGGGAAGTGAAACAGTAGATGAAAGATCTCTCTCTCTCTCTCTCTCTAACTCTACCTTTCAAA